CTAGTTTATTACCCTATATTTAAAATAAAAAATTTTGAGTTCGATCTTTATTTAATTTGAAAATCATTACGGATACAAAATTAAAAAGGGTATTTGTTTATTAAAGTCGATAGCCTTCGCCCCTAGCATAAACGCGGGAGATCAACTATTGTACTCAATAATCGAATATTGCCTCAATTTTAAAAATCATGATGCGGTCTTTAAAAAAGATGTCAACTTATTTCGGGAATCACCAGTAGTCACCCCCCGAACATATTTGCGGGAGATATACCCTTAATTCCCTAATAAGTGAACATTACCTTAGGTTTGGAAATAAAATATGGTCAAATAAATTTTTATTAATCTTAATTAAGCTAAGGTAAATTAAAGGCTTTTTCTAGCTTAAGGTGTCAGATTATGAAATTAAAGGACCTAGAGGTATAAACCTATAAATATAGGCTCTAATGCTAACCCTATTTGATTTTTAATCCATTATTGAATATAATAACCAATATGGTCCCTCGAGCATTTACACGAGGGCCGACTCAAATTATCCCCTAAATTAAGAGGAATATATCGAAATCTAGCTAAAAATGGAGGCTCTATTTAACCTATTTAACTATATCAATAAATTTTAATGCATGATTTGGAAATATATTAAGGAATGTAAGTGTCATTCAAAATGAATGTATGCAAAAGACATTGATCCCAAAATAATTGTTCCTTGAATAATTCTTGAAAAACTGACAATGTCTTGGTACACTAGGGAAGTGAAGATCTGGTTCATCTGTAAGTCGTCCAACTCGTACGAGCATCTGGGTACCGCATCCTCTTCAAAGTTTACACTTCATCTCCTATTTTCTGAAATCTTTCGAGCTGGTTTGTGATCTTCAACTGTTGGCTTCAACATCGAATCTCCTTGAGTCCACCTTGTTATCTCAATACGTAGATGTTTGGCTTATAGTAGGTAGACTCTTCTTGACGCTACTCGATCTACGTAGAGCATCTTCGAAATTCTTCTGATCCTAGTGAAAGACATTGTTGTGGCCATTATTTTTTAAGAACCTTCTAAATGATCAGTTATTTAAGGGAACAATACCTTTGAATGAAATGTCATGTTCATGCAAAAATGCAACAAGACCAGACAAAAGTAAATCAATGTTAGTAGAAACAAAAATAATCAATTAAGTTGAAATGATTAGTCAAAGAAATGTAATCTTAGCAACAATAAATAAATTCGACTCAAAGTTGAGACTGAAAAAAAACATACAAAGAAAATTAATAGTCCTAATCGCATGCACTCTAGTTCTCCTAGGTTATCCACATGGCTCTAGCGGGGTAGTCTTACTAAATTCTCTACATGAGGTTGGGTTCTAGCAAAGTTTCCCAAGCCATGTTTACAGCCTGCTAAGGTTGACTCCGATTCTGGCCCATTACAGACTTGAGAATCAGATTTGGCTCAGGGGATCACACCACTAAAAGTGTACCTTGGATCTAATATCCGGGTAGGCAACTTATGATGCTTTCCAGAGATACTTTATCAGACTCACACAAGGAAGCTCAATGCTCCTTGTGAGGTGTGACGTTTCTCCCTACTTAGGTAAACTAGGTTGGAGCTCGAGTTTAGAGCTATGATATGCAACAATCCTAAATATTCATAGAAGTATAAGCATTAATCAGAGAGAAAATCTTTTTTCTTTTGAAATAACATAATAAAATGTAAATTAAAACAAGATCGAACTCGTAATTTCCTAAAATCCTTAATATAGGGTAACCAACTCGTGACTTGACTCTCAAGTTTTTTTAAAAACAAAACATCCTCAGTGGAGGCGCCAAGCTGTCGACACCGTTTTTCACCCGGGTGGGGAAAAATCGATACCGACTTGGGGCTTTTCTCTTTAGAAAAGGATTTCAAAATGTGAGGAGTCATCACCAATCATTTAAGGTGCGATTGTGACACCATAAAAACTGAGTAATTTTAATAAAACATTTTTTTTATAAAAATACCAAGTTTTAAGGTCTGTGAAAATCCAAAAATTAGGTTCAGGAGTCTGTTACGCGTGGGGAAGGATTAGAACCCCCACAAGCGCCCAAAAATTGGTATTTGAAATCAAGTTGATTGCCCTATATTTAAAATCGGCAATTTTGAGTTTGATCTTTATTTAATTTTGAAAATCATTACGGATGCAAAGTTAAAAAGGGTATTCATTTATTAAAGTCGATAGCCTTTTCCCCTAGCATAAACGCAAGAGATCAGCTATTGTACTCAAAAACCCAATATTGCCTCGATTTTAAAAATCATGATGCGGTCTTTGAAAAGGATGTCATCTTATTTCGGGAATCACCAGTAGTCACCCCTTGAGCATACTTGCGGGAGATATACCATTAATTCTCTAATAAGTGAACATTGCCTTAGATTTGGAAATAAAATGTGGTCAAACAAATTTGTATTAATTTTAATTAAGCTAAGGTAAATTAAAGGCTTTTTCTAGCTTAAGGTGTTAAATTATGAAATTAAAGGACCTAGAGGTATAAACCTAAAAATGTAGGCACTAAAAGCCTAAAAGAATAGGGACCTAAATTAATAATTTCTAAAGTTAAGGACTAATTAATAAATCAAAATACCTAATTATTATCTAAATTATTAAACCTAAAGTATTTTTTTAGAAAATATTAATTATTAATAAATTTTAAAAATCGAGCAATCGATTACAGTAATCGGGCATCTTATGCGAAAACTCAACTCGAATTCTCACTAATTAAACTAGAGTGTCATCATAATTTCTAAGTTCGATTCGAATGTTAATATAATCTAAGAACTAAGTCTAAAGGTTTAAATTATGAAATAATCAAAACAATTAATAAACCTAATTAAAAAATCAAATAATAAAATAATAAAATAAATTAAATAAACATAAACATGAGGACCTAATTGCATGAATATCTAATTACAAGCTCAAAAACAAATAAATGAAACATATAATAAGGGACTAAATTAAAACAAATTAAAATCTGAAGTCTAAATCGATACAAAATAAAAATAAATAGATTAGGGACTAAAATACAAAAACACGCTAAATATATAGGAATTACAAGGAAAATAACCCTAAAAATAAATATCACGCATAAAAAAGGTAAATGACAAAAACAGTTCATACAAGTGACTAACATGCAAAACACGCATAAAGTAGGGGATCAAACAACAATTATATCAAAATTTTCAAAACATAAACAGAAAAAGGAAATTATTAAAACAATCCCTACCAGTGACCACTTTGCAAAAATACGGTGAAAGTTGGGGGGCTAAGCAACAATTTCCCCTGAAATTTTTCTATAAATACAAACATTTTCTTTTTTATATAATTTTTCATTTTTTTTGTTTTTAAAAAAAGTAGAGAGAGAGGCTTTCCCCTCTCTCTAGAAAGTCGGCCATCGCTGGCGACCGCTCTTCCTCCGGTCGCCATCCCGGTCGCCGCCAGCCGTCGCATCGCCACTGTCGTCAGTGGTCGTTGGCCACCAAATTTTCGGTTCTCGCTCGTCTCGACGCGATGGTCCTTTGACTATAGGATGTTTTGTTGAGTTCTTTGACTATAAAAAATTACAAAATAATCCTTTGACTGTAGTTGTTTTGTTAAGCTGTCCACTATTAAAAGTTATAAAATAATTATTTAACAATCCATATGTTTTAAATTTATTTTTTCGATAAACTATTAATGGTTGTTAACAGTTTGAGATAAATAAGGTAACAATATAAACTCTAGGGGTAAAATATATCGAAAAATGTTTACATGCACCTTAGTATAAAGTGTATAATTCAGGAGGTAATGGTGTATTTAAACCTTCCTAATATGGAATGAGGATTTTTTTTTTTGTTGAATGTAGAAGGGTGTCGCAAAATGATATTATTTTAGTACCCCAGCTTCAGTTTGCACCAAAGTCAAAACTCATCTAAGAAAGTCTACAATGTGTAGAAGGGTGTAGTAAAAATTTTAGAATAAAGTTTCGCCATGTTATTGGTAACCATATTTCCTTCCTGAGTCGCGTGGATAAATTGTAAACATATTTTCTCCCAAGCAAAAATGGAGTGATTAACTTTGAAATATATGAAGTTTTATTTAGTTCGAATGTGATTAAAGGAAACCTAAGTAGCTTCAGGATTTTAGGTAAGCACTGGAGAACACAATGACCAGTTTTTGGTGGAGGACCCAGAAACATTCAGTTTGGCGGAAGCTGAACAAAGAACGTTTGAACTACCAAAATTTAAAAGTTAATGAATTGTTTGGGGACCTATCGAGTAGAAATAAATCTTACTCGAATCAACTTGTTAATATCTCAAGTTTGAGTATTAACTAAATCAAATTCGAACAATTCAAGAACAACCCTAATTAAGCATAGCCCAGCTCCAACTTCTTGTTTAATGCCTCTTCATTTTTCTACTGTTGGAAACTTGAATGGTGGTTGTAAACATATGAAAAAGTAAATCAGGATTGGGCCTCAAGAACTTCATAAGCCATTGATCAAAGCAAATATTTCCTCTGGGTTCTCATAGATCAATCACGCGAAAAGAGAGAAAAAAAGAGGAAAAGCTTTGAAGTAGGAGCTAGGAAGAAGGGTTTGCCAACAGCCCTATAACAGAGAGGGATATGTTGGCGAAAAGGTTGGTTTCTTTCTTCAGGAATTCTCCAACTTCGAAGCTTTCCAGGTACAACTTTTCCTTTCATTTTTCTTCCATTTTTTATTTTCCAGTTTCGGGATTTTAGCATTTTGTTTTCTGGGATTGAATCAGCCATTTATATCAAGAACCCATCGAGTTTCTTTACGTACTGAAACTGGGTTGATACCCAAAACAAGAAAAATCAAGGGACCTAAAGTTTATTTATACTTTGGATTTGTTCATAAAATCCTACCCAAGTTGCTTTTTTGTCTCTCTGTCAAATCCCAGACAGAAGATTAGAAATTCAATGTTCAGTTTGTTTAACATGCAAGTAGAATTTTTTGTTCATGTAGGTGTAATTGTTGCTGTGTCGTGTTTTTAGGATCCTCCAAGAGATAAGCTAAACTTCACCATATTTGTACTTATTTGATTGAATTATGCAACAATGGAAACTCTGTGAATGATGATTGAATACTGTAGCAGGCGGTGTCGCCTTGAGTGTTCCTGATGACCTTGCCATTTACCATGGCTGTAGCAGGTATTATCCATGCATTCTGTTCTGCTGTTCAGTTCTAATTTTCAAATCCGATCCATGCTTGAATGTTCCATCTGTCTTGAAATGAGGTGTTAATATATATGCCTTAGATAGAGATACCTTCTTTGTTTTGCAGAACCCAGCATTTTTGAAATATTATAATTTTTTTAGCTTTGTTACTTCTATTGTCGTTGTACAATCTCCTTGTGCGCAATGGACATAAAAATATTGCTTGAAGGAAATCGAGCTAATGGACGGAATTTATCATCTTATAATTTTTGGTTTCCAATGGAAATAGCTACTTTCTTCGTTTCCCCCCCCCCTTTTTATTGTAGTAATAGACAGTCGTATTCCCAAGTATGGTACCTTTTTGTCATTCTAGCATCCTCCGAGCGTTCATGTCTTGTTATTGTTGTTTCTGTATATTGATTTCTAATGTTGGGTTTTTATCCCATTCTGCGTTCTCCATTTGCGATGATAACCAATTTATTCTTATAATAGACCCAACATTTTTTAGGAAGGTAATGGAGAAAGCCAGTAAGAATCAAGCAATCATAAATGCTATCGGAGAACCAATTAAGAAGGGACCATGGTATAATGCTTCTCTTGCTGTAGCTCACAAGAGGCAGTCTGTATCTTGCACATTCCCCGTATCCGGACCACAAGGCAATGGAGTATTGCAATTGAAGGCAGTTCGTAATAAAGGTTAATTTCATTCGCTTCGTGTTCTTGTTTAAATCTTCTGTTTTTTTCCTTTTGTTCTCTCTCTCAAATTAAATATATTCCTATACAAGCATAACCCGAGGTCAGATATCACTCACTCACCTTTGATGCATCATTATCTAGTCTTGCAAATCTACTGTAATTTCCACTACATTGCTGCATTAGCATTTTTCTGGGGTTTTATGAGCCGATTTCAGTGTGAACCTGGCTTATTCCAAACAATTCATTAGTTGGTTTCAACCTTTTGTGATTTTGAAATGGGATTCTTTTACAGATAATGATTCGTATTCCTATTTCCTGCCTCAAGACTGGGAGATCCTAATCATGGAAGCCCTGCTATATGTTCCTGGGAATGAAGAGAATCGGAAAACATTAAGAATTAGTCTCCTTGAAAACGCCCCTCCGGCTTGCATTGCATGCACTGAATGCAAGCCTCGACCATCTGAGAATGAGGACAAGAAATGAGAATCCACACTCAAGGAGGTGAAATGTCTTATCTTTCCCTTGGAATTTCAACCCTTATCCTGTTAGTAGTGGTGAGATGAAATCTTATGTGTCCCTGAGAAGAATAAAGTTTGAGAAAAACATTGCAATCATTTGTAGCATAAAAATATAGTATAGAACAATTGATTTTGCCATTTTGAGCAGCTATGAATGAAATAACATTCGTTGAGAGATGATTATTTGTTTGATGATGTTGCAGTTCCAAGTTAATACGTCCAATATCAATTCCTAAAGGGTTACCAATTCCTATCACCTTATTCAACTAATTGTAGACGGTTTCATGCTGATTTTTTTTTAAATGTTAATATTGTTGTTATGAAAAATCAAACCCACAATATTTATATTAAGATCTTATGCTTTTGATAATCTATCCTGATGCTCACATTGAGTTTTGTTTCACATTTTAACATTAAACTATATCTTAGTTGAACCCATGAATTTCAAAACTCTGTTTTACCTTCTTAAATTTAAGACTTTGTTTGATATAAAAGATGGAAATAAAAAGGCCGAAAAATAACTAAATTATGTCAAAATTTAAAATTTTCAGGGGATGGTCACCTCAACCCCTTAGATTCATCCATGCTGATAGGGTCTATTATGTTGGAACAGTACTTCTGGGGCAGTACTACCGAAATCCTGTTAATGGTGTTATAACAATCTTCTTTCTCATCTTTTTCATCTTATAGAGCTAATGTCACAGCTGGGACCAAGAGGACTGCTGATTCTGTGGCCGCTCCTAAATATCAGCCATTTTACTGTAATTTTTTTCTTTCAAGCTACTGGGAAGAATTCACTACTTGTGAAGAATCTAATTGCAAGAGTTTCCAAGTATTGATGTATTGGATCTTTACCATTACAAATACATTTGAAACACTTAGAATCAACAATTTCAGGTGCAATGGATTTCAATATGAACCGGTAACTGCAAGCATCAACAAAAATACAATGCTACTACATACAAACGAGAATATAGTTTAGTTGAGGGCTGGCCCTAAACATGGCCATTTACAGGTGATGTGCTAAAATCTGGCTTCTCATTGTTAGATGTGTTTCCGCCATTGTTGCTGTTGCTTTTCCTTCTGGGTTTTGCCTCACCAAGCATTGTAATCACATCCCTCATCGATGGTCTATCTATTCAAAGCATTGTAATTAAGTCAGTTCCGAAGCCCTTCCGAATCCCAGTGGAAAGCCGCCGGTGAATAGATTTTGGCTCACATCAATGCTGTCGAGTGATGTGAGAATGGATATGGATTTCGGTAGATGAGAAGACAGTTCATTGCAGCACAATTCAAGAGATCTTAGGCTTTTCAGGTTTCCGATATCATCCAAAACCAGGCCACTGAGATTCATACATGAAAGATGAAGCGTTTCAACTGACCCATTAGAGTTGCACCACACACCAGTCCAGTTGCATTGAGCTGAACCCTTTAGACCCTCATTTTCAGGCAATCTCCAATCGTCAAGTCTATTCAAAGGATCGATGAAACCAGCTTTAATCGACATCAATGCCAATGCTTCCTCATTGAAGTTGGTCTTTTCAGCTTCAATGTCATGGCAGAAGACCAAGAAGAACTGGATTCTGAAGTGCATAGTGTTCTTCTTAACTGCCGATCATTACTCTCTCAGAACACCTTTGTCATAAGCTGAACAAACTTGGTTGGTTTCAAATGGAACAAGCTGATCATTTGTTTTGATGAAGAAGGTAAAAGGAAAAGGAGTGTTGATCAAAATAAATAAATAAAAAGGGGAAACGGGGGATTAATTACTGAAGAAGTCGTGAGATCTTGGGTTCTGAAACAGCAAGTACTGACAGAGGAAGGAACCTTTCCATGTTAGGGTTATATAGAATAAAGATCATACCTGGCAGTTCTACCGTACGACAGCCTAATATACAACTAAAGAAATGTGCTACTTGAAATGTTAATATTTTTTTAACATTTCCGGTAAAGCGCTACCTAAAACATTATTTGTTCTACCGAAAATATTAATTTCACTACTTAATTTCTAGTAGAAAAAACAACATTTTAGGTAGTGTCCAATATTAACATTCCGGTAGAAAAAAATAATGTTTTAGGTAGCGTTTTACCGAAAATATTAAAAAAACATTAATATTTTCGGTAACGTCTTTCCTTAGTCTTATATTAATTCTACCATACCTTATAATCAATATCCCATCATACCCTAATAAATTAAACACTTTTAGTTGAGTGGGTTTGTTATTAGTTATGCCCTAACATTTCACTCGAACAAACACAGACAAAATAAATATGTACCACTTCTTGCATTTATTTTCGATATTGCTGCAAGTTAACTGGATTCGAAATTCAATGTTAATGTCATATGTGCCTATACACTGATATGGATTACCATACATGAATTTTAAATCAATACGCATTTGAATTTCATATTTTCTATATTTGAAGTTTTATTTTGTTATACCTCCTCCGAGTCTCCTATGTAAACCTTATATGTACCAATAATTCTTCACCTATCAAAACCTTTGAAGTTTTATGGAGCTTTGGAGTTCATATCTTCGAGACCGATGTAGTCTCTTGACATGAAGAAATAATTAGATGGTTTCAGCTCACACATGATTCCAACTAATAAGATCCATTCATCTAAAAGTAACTACCAAATAAGACTTGGTAAAAAAAAATAAATGCCTAAATTATACAAAAAAATTGACTTTTGATGCCTAAAGAACTTTTCGTTAAAAAAATGTCTAATGTTTTTCCGCTACACTTTTAGGTGTTTACTGTTAAAAAAAGTTAAGTGACACATGTCATTTTTATATCTTGGCTTAAATATAAAATAAGTGCCTAATATAGTGCTTTTCACGAATAGCCATCTAAATTATTTTTGAAAGATCCCGGTGCCTAATGTTACAAACATTACCATTTTAGGGTGTCGAGTTGTAACAGCTGTTAAAAAAATTCGTTAATAGACATGCCTCACACTCTTTTAATTTTTAAAATAATTTTTTAAAAATTATTATATTTATAGAAACCCATTTTTTTTATAAAATTCCAAAAAGGTCCCAAAATCTCCAAAATTCCCAAATACCTAACCCAAACCCTATCTTTGTTTCCAACCACTGTCGCCAATACCTTCCTGGCTATCTCCGTAGTTAGACGACATTGTCCTTAGTGTGGATTTGTGATGGTCGTCGGCATGGTAGTCGTTTCATCGTATTCAAATATCGACGCCGGGTAGATTTCGTCGCAATTTTAGGGGTTTCGAGTATTGTTATGATGGTTGTTCATTGGGTAACTAATCTTGGGTGGATGCACGATCAAGTGGAAGGTCGATCGATGACAACGAAGGTGGCGAGCATGAGGACTAGATTTAGGGTTTTGAAATTTCAGGGAGGTTTTTAAGATTTTAAAATTTTTGAGCTTTTTTAAAAAATATATTATTAACTTCTTTTAAAAAATAATTTTTTTAAAATTACATGAGGGTAAGACGTGTCGCTTAACGATGGAGTTTAATTGCTGTTATGACCTGAACACCTAAAATAATAACGTTTATAACATTAGACACCAATATCATTAAAAAAATAGTTTAGACACATATTCGTAAAAAACGCTATAGTTTGGACACTTATTTTATATTTAAGCCTTATATTTATTTCTTTAATTTAAAAATAAAATATTTACTTAAAAATAGATTTTTTAAAAATTTGAACATGACACGTTCATTTAACTGTTTTTTAACAGTAAACACCTAAAAGTGTAATGAAGAAAAATGTTAGGTATCTATTTTTATCAAAAAATTCTTTAGACACCAAAAATTAATTTTGGGTATAATTTGGACACTTTTTTTTATACCAAGCCTTCAAATAATTACCAACTCCCTATTTACATGTTGGAAAAAAAATGAAGATTCACCATGAAAAAAGTGATATATGGATCTTATTGGTTGAGACAACAGATGACGTGGTGAACCAAGTCGATCTAATAATTTTTTTACATGACTATTTCCAGTCCCATCATTGACAAAGTCTTCTATGTAATAATGAAGTTTATTCACTTTGTCAACCTACAAATAACAATCATTATTTTAGGTTTGACACGGGCACTAAAAGCTCGTATATAAACTCACATGCAAAGCTAAGGAAGAATCTCGTTTTCTCTCTCTTAGTTCATCATTTTTCATCATATTTGTTGAACCTATCATCCTCTTTTTTCTTTGCATAGTCATCAATTGCGTTATTGGTCCAACTCAAAAGAGATGAATTGTTCACGGACGTCACAACCTAATTTTCGATGAAGAATTTTGATTTAATTTTTAAAAAAATATATAAATAATTATTATTTTAACATATTATGAAATCAGTTAACGACAACAAATCATCCATTTTAAAAAATTACATATTTTAATAAAAACCAGAATATGATCTTAAAAGACAATGAAAAAATTTATTCGTATACTTATATAAAATTAAATTTTATATATTAAATTAGATATAATTAATAAGTAATTTTAAAATTGTATAATAATGAAAATTAAATTTACTGTGCAGTAGCCAAAATTGATTACGATACTTGGCCAATTAATTGGTTATTTCACAGTAAAGATTGAAACACAGATTCAATCCTTAAAACCTAAGAAATATTTAAAAAAGAAAAGAAAGAAACATAGTGAGTAATAAGAAAGTATGGTAAGTAGATGAAAATTAGTGCAGTGGAATACGCTTTGGCATCCAATAAAAGGCAATGGCAGTCTCATTCTTATGTTGAAAAAAGAGTATTGAATGTCAACATATTTGTCCTTTTAGACGGAGTGGAGTGATGCTTCAAATTGCATACTTTTTAGGATTAACTATGAATGATCATTTATGTTTTTGTCTTATCGACTTTTCCACATTGTTTTAAAAAAATATAATATATAATCACATTCATTTTTATTTAATTAAGATATAGTTATCACGGGTTAACTGCCGTTAAATATTTTGGCATAATCATATATTTGGTCTGTTTTATTTATATATTTTCTCAATTTAATTCAGTTTTAATAAATTTAATCTTCCAATTAATGATATCACATGTCACTGGTACCACGTGTCACCATTCGATTGGAGGACTAACTT